CACACACACACACACACACACACACAGACACACACACAGACACACACACACACACACACGCACACAGGGCTGGCTGAGCTCCAGTTCTGATTGGTTGATCTGGGAGGACAGTGTGTGGAGGGCAGCCAGATGGGCAGCGAGCCGAGCCCATCTATTTTTGTTAAATAAGTAATTTATTGAAACTGCTACACTGGGAACTGTTTTCTATGTAAAATGTAATGTATTCCTGTGATGCAAAGCTGAATTTTCAGCATCATTACTCCATTCTTCAGTGTCACATGATCCTTCAGAAATCATTCTGATATGTTGATTTGCTGCTCAGGAATTTTTTTTTTATTATTATCAAAGTCGAAAACTGTTGTGCTGCTTAATATGTTTGTAGAAACCATGATACATTAGTTTTTCAAGATTGTTTGATGAACAGAAAGTTCAAAAGAACAGCATTTATTTGAAATAGAAATCTTTGGAACATTATAAATGTCATGACTGTCATCCTTCCTGAATAAAACATTTTTATGTTCAATAAAGGAAATCTTACTGACGCCAAACTTTTAAACAGTAGTGTGTCTAATAAAAACTAGGTCTAAACGAAATATTACACATATTAGGAAACAGACACCAAATAATAAATAAACATACTGTATTTATTAAATATACTGTATATTTAAATGTGTACTAAATCTAACACACAGGTGAAATTGTTAAATAATTATTGTGACAGTTTTGTGTGTTTATACATTGATTTGCTTAACTGTTTATGTTTCAATTTAATATAATAATTATTCTGTATTCATTGGCTTTCCCTGGTTTTCCATTTCACTGCTTGTTGGTGATATTACATCCCCCTGGAGCTGTAATGAGGGGAACAGACTCTGTGTGCGGGAAGATTTGAGAAGAGAACGAGAGCGTGTGTGAGGAATGAACAGCTGCTACTGTTAATAACGCTTGCTCTTCAGTTATTTAATACAAGTTTAAATTAAACCTCATCTTTATTATTTATCACCTGATGGAGACTGAAGCCGCGAGCTTTTCACATTCACCAAACCGCTGAATCAGGTGTTTATTTGCATGATGCTGACCTGATGGACGTGATGAGGCTCTTGATGGAGTCCGACACGGTGCGGGAATGGCCTGCCAGGATGGACCAGGTGGGTGGGTCTTTGGGGTTAAGGATGAGCGAGCGGGCGGTCTCTAATAAGTGGGTGGAGCTGTCCAGCATTGAACGGGCTGAGCGAAGGATCGGCTCCTGGGCTGCTGAACCCTGGGATTGAAAACAATTTAGTTTACAGTGTTTTTAATTATTTCATTCTTAAAGTCACATAAAAATGTGAGTACCGTATATAAAGGGAAAATAATGTTGTAAGTATTTACAAAATATTTTCAGTTTGTAATTTAAAAAATAAATGTATTTATGATATTCATAATACATTAAATATTTTACAAATATTTTTTAAAATTGTAATATTTTTTTTATTATATTACCCATCCATCAAAAACAGAACATCAAATGCAAAAATGTGATGAATCACCAAAAATGTTTGAATGTTGATACAAACACACTTTCAGTCCTAAATAATTCTATTAACAACTAACAAGATGTTAAAAACATGCAAGAAGCTGCTGTAAGAACAGAACTAAACTCCCACAAACCCCAGAAACAGACTGAGGTGATAAAATTGTCAGGGACAATCCACACTCACTGATCTTTCAGACTTCCTGTGAGTAAGTCCAGTGTCAAACGGAGAGAAACCACTTTGTTTTGGCACAAAATTACAGGCAATATTTCAAAGACAGAGGAGTCATCTAGTTATTCACGAAGTCAGTGTAGGCACATTTTACAAAGAAATACAGTACACGTGAAGTGACAATTAACCATGTGTGCTAAATTGAACATTTTTCATTTTAGATAAAATATTGGCAGTTACTTTGGAACCATTGTGACTGATGGTACAAAAATAGACAAACAAATCAACCTTTGCTTGTCTCTGAGCAACCCACACTAGTGGTGTTTCTTTCCTGAATGAATCAGTGTTTTTGAATGAATTGCTTGAGCGAATAATTCCATAATTCACTCTTAAAACAGACACTTGTTTTGTTTCTAAATGAATCAGTCCTTTTTAACAAATTATTTGAATAAATGATTCAATCACTCACTCAAAAACACAGTCACTTGATTGCTGAATGAGTAAGTGGAATAGGTTGAGTAAATGATTCAATGACTCACTCATATAGACAGTCAATTGATTTGTTCCTAAGTGAATGAGTGCTTTTAATCAAACTGGTCAAGTGAACAGTTCTATGACTCACTAATAAAGACGGGCTGCGTCTGAAATCACATACTTCCCTACTATACTGTAGGCGAAAAATGTGAAAGTAGTAATTTGTCCGAAATCACAATATTCATAAAACAGAAGGCCTACTACATCTGGCGATTATCTGAGAATATTTCTGAATGGCAGTAAAGCAATGCAACTGATGCTCACATGACAAAGAAAACATGATGGATGTAGCACATACAGATTATGTTCATACTACCACATTCATACTATATAGAACATACTTTATGTTTGCAAAGCAATTACTTATTTAAAAAAAAAATGTACCTACTCAGAGTCTGATTTCAGACACAACCAGTCACTTGTTTTGTTCCTGAAAGAATCAGTGCTTTCGAATGAACTGGTTGAGTTGATTTAATGACTCACTCAGAAAAACAGTCACTTGTTTCGTTCCTCAACGAATCAGTGCTTTTGAACAAATCAGTTGAGTAAATGATTAAATGATTAATTCAAAGCCAGTCATTTGTTTTGTTCCTGAACGAATCAGTGCTTTTGAACAAATCGGTTGAGTAAATGATTCAATAGCCACGTATACATGCACACTTTTTTGTCATTCCGATTAAAATCATTCCGATTGAAAGATTCAGTGGACTGTTTACATGAGACATTATCTAATCCGAATGACAACAAATACAAATCACCAGAGGAAAATACGCCCGCGTTAATAGCTGCTTGTGCTTGCTATAAACGGACGAATATTTGAATCCCTTGCGTTCAATCGAGCGCTCAGTCATGTGACATTCACATTCATAGAAATTATACGCCCGTCTTCTATCGGACCACACACAGAACCAAACTGATTTCTCGTTTGCAGTTTCTAATAACTAAGTTGCACAGATATATCTATCAGATAAAATAATAAACACAATATAGCTTGATCTCAGCCAGTTGATCAACACACATCATCATATCGCCATCATTTCTAAATGTTAAAGCATTGAGGGATAAAATAACAGTACGACCCTCTGTAACGCAGCTCTGAAATGAATTGTGTTGTGATACTATTACTGTACTTAAATAGAACAAATAAACGATTTCTTACCAAGAGTTGCTGAACAATAAATCAAAGGAGCGTTGCTTTATGAACACGGAGAGTGATCGCAACAAGCTCTATCACAAATAACATTTCCAAGAGTGTTTTCACACATTATTCATGGCGTGAGCACTTATAAATTCAAGCAGATTGGAAATTATGAATCTGTAATAAATAAATACAAATGACAAAGGCAAATTTTGGTCAAGTTGTTTATTTTCATTGAGCTATGGTGAGAGTCACCATTGTGTTGTTTCAAGCTGAAAATCTGAAAATTACGCTTCATTTCAGATCCGTTTTCCACTCCGGTCAAGAGAGCAGATATGGCAGTTCATTACACAGCAAGCGTTCTCCATTCTAATGTGTTTATAACGGTATAATTTAAATGTTAACATCTACCTCCACTATTTCCCAGTCTCTACTGTAGTGTCGGTGTTCCCAAATTCCAGAATGCCGCAAAGTAATCGGTTTAATGCATGTTTACTTGGCAGGATTTTAATTTTGTTCGGTTTATAGAAAGGTTTATCCCACCCCTCTCAAACCGATTACAATTTCATTCGGTTTGGACATTTTTATTCCGATTGAGGTGTTTACATGGAGCATTTTCATTCGGATTGGACTTTTAAACTGATTACAATGCTCCATGTAAACGCACCTACTGATACACTCATAAAGTGACTGTTTCTGAATGAATCAATGTTTTTGATCAAATCGGCTGTAACCTGCAGAAAGATTCACTATTACACAGTTTGTCTGGAATGCCCAAAAAATACAAATCCTAACCCCAGAGCATTGTTTTGCCATTTTTAGATTTGTCTGTCCTCTTGATTTGGTTCAAGATTTAAAATTTGGCTCTAAAAATTCAGTAGAATGAGTACCCACACACTCACACAAAAATAATAAATGAAATATTGTGGTATTCAGTATTTCATCACCTCATGGCTTATCTGCGCAGGAATGCTGGCAAACTCAGGGTTGGAGGCAAAGGTGGAGAGATTATCCACAGCTTCTATCAGTGGGGTCGTGGCCACTCGGCATCTCTCGCGGTTCTCATCTGAGAAATCCCCATCCAAGGCCTGAGAAACACAGCAGAGAGATCACATCTGCTGAAACACTTCAATCCTCACGCATAAATAAAGCTTTATCAATGCTTATAAGGTTGCAAATGGTCAGACAAGCTCAAGTTCTTCATGCTAATGCACACGATTCAATCAATTATCAATTACTTTGGTACCAAATGATCTTTTGGTAATTAATTGAAGGCTGTACCTTTATAGTTTTGACAAGGTTAGCCGTGGTATTGGCGACCTCTTTGGCTGACTGCACGAAATGTCTCCGGGCTACAGGATTGGCTGTTTTGGAAGATGCCAGACGACAGGCGTTGCAAAGAGCCGAGGTGTGCTTTGCAACAATGGTAGCTGCTGACAAAACCTACACAAACAAAAAGATGAGGAAATGCAAGCCACAGAGATTCAAAAACCACAAAAAGCCAATCAGGATATGGCCAGACAAATAAAAAATAAAGAATGAAACTTGATACTAAAGAGCCAGTCACCTGGGATGGGCTGCTGGCCGGGTCCACCAGATTCTGGCAGGCCATCTGAATCGCCTGATTGGCTCTTGCAAACTGGATGGGATCGACCAATCCCTGATGACCCGACTGGCTGTTGGGGTCTGAGACTCCTACCAAATAAGAGGCCTGACGAAAAATAAAGGCATGTTGAACTAGTAAATTCAACATGAAACCAAAATGTATGTATTTATTTACTTACTTAATATTATTATATTATATTATATGAATTGTTATATTTATTATTTAATATTATATTATTTATTTCCCTTGTTGTGCAAGATTAATTTGTGTAGTGTACATTATTACAATAAATATGTATTATTACTTTTAAATCTACAAAATAATAAATCACATCAAAATTTTTTCCTTTTTCCACCTCCGAAACGAAAGATAAAACCAATGCAGTGGGCAGAAAAAATGAATATTAACCAATTAACCAATCACGATAAATTACTTTTGTTTCTTTAATCCATTTTTTTTTTTACGTTTTAATTAATATATTCATATTTATTATATTCATAATTATTACATTACATTATATATGACTAATTTTTCTTAATTAATTTGTGCACTTAAAATTATTTAACTTTTTTTTTCTAATACTACTCCAAAATGAACCTTTTTCCACCTAAAACATCTGACAAAATCAATGCACTGTAGACAGTAAAACATATATAAAATATAAAAAACGTATATAACCAATAGCAGCATAGCTATGTTTTGAATCTTTTAATTTATTATTTTCTTTCTGTATTATTATATTATATTATATTCTAATTTACTGATGAATAAAAACAAGCCCTGTCACCAAAAGCTAAATGTGTTGCAAAAGCATTTTCAAGTTGTCGATTAAATCAAATGGTGTTGATAAAAGTTAGCTATTGAATTTTTGAATCGCATTTCTAAAGCATAATGTTTCAAATGCATTGTGGGAGCAGCTTCAGAGAGTATCAGGCCAAAAGCTCACCTGTCCCGCCGCCTCAGTCAACCCACACAGTGCTTTGGATGCAACACCCACACAATCCCCGAACGCTGGCACGTTTCCCGTCTTACAATGCTGTGAGATTCCAGCCATGGACTCCCCGAGAACCTGTTCAGTCAGACGGCGAGATGTGTAAACATTTGGAACGAACAAATTTCTTTAGAGAATTCAGGAATGTTGTGATGGATTCTTTACCTTGGAATTCTCCATAACGCTCTCAATGCAGTCAAAATAAGAGAGATCGCTGACCGGCTCATTGGGATTGTCCAACATTCCTCGAACAGCCTGTGTGTTCATGGGAGAGGGAAAGGTTAATGCACCTTAAGATGTTGAGCATGCCTGTTGCTTTGAGATATTTGAGATATTTCTAACTTACAGTATATCAAAGAATTTCAAGGCTCATAAATGTAATAAAAAGCACACCACCAAATACCTCAGAAAATGAACAAAAAGCATTGTGTTTGGGGCAGAAACAACCCATTTCAAAATGATTACACAGGTTTGGACATTTTATTTATTTATTTAGTCATTTAGCAGATGCTTTTATCCAAAGTGACTTACAAATGAGGACAACAGAAGCAATCAATTGTAGTATTAAAAAAAAAAAAAAATTGGACATAAATTATAATCATTCACAGACCCCAAATAATCATTGTTGGCTCTACTTTAACACACAACTGACCTGTGGCTGGTATATTTGAATGTTTCACAAAGGCATCACACAAAACGCTGTTTTTAATCAACAAATAAGGCCAAATATGATCTAACGTTGATCTCATTTATATAAGACCACCATAGAAGACCTAACGGGAAAAAAACAGGCCCTCACCTTGTTTATTTCATACTGTTTGTTGAAATATATGTGAAAAAATTCTAAATATTTATTCAAAATATGAATATAAATTATGAATATATACATGTGCATATATATATATGTTGTAATATTCATATATGTATGTTTATAAGAAAGCAATTAATAATTTTCCTTTACATTCATAGAAGTACAAAACCATCATAATTTCATCAATACTCATCTCAAATATAAAACGGATAAAACTTTGTAAGATTAAGTGTGTGTATTCAAGTACCTCGAGTTCTCGTAGAGCGTTATCACACTCTTTTTGTCCTGGTGCCTGCTGGGTACACAGTGTGATGAGTTGATTAATGCTCTCTGTGACCGCTCTGAAACACAGAAAATCACACCCAGTCAGAATGACACAAAAAGCTCCTTCAAAGACTTCACTTATCAAATCTATTTTTCTCATTGAGCTTTCACTCCCTATATGTAGGAAGGAGGCACTAACATTGAGGTCTTACAAATTTATCAGAATCATGACAAAACAAGGTTTTGTTACACTCATATGAGCCAAGATTTGAGTGAGTGTATGTTGGAGTGTATGTGTGTCAGTCTGCTCTCTCCTTCATTAAGGAAACTAAATCAATCTAGCTCAAAACCCTCAGGAGCAGCTGCTTTCCTGTGGTACCTGAGAGGATTCTACAGCACTCTCACACACACACACACACACACACACACACACACACACACACACACACACACACAGAATTGTTTTTCATCATGATAGGTATTTTCCACTGACTTCTATTGTTTTTATATTGAGCTAATAATATTTTCTATCCCCTAATTCTGGCCATAAATGTAACTCAAGCCCAAAACAATTCTCCTTTTTTTCTTCCGATTTTCCTTATGACATTATTTATTATATCTATAATGCTGTATAATTACTCTTGTGTGGCGGACGTTGGACAAAACACACAAACCTGACACACTAACAAACACAGCAGCAAAGTCAATAACAAAACCACAAACAAAAACTCTCACATACATGTAATCCAAGCAAAACATTTTAACCAACAAATCACTCACACCCAAACAAAACACCCACAAATTAACAAACAAAACTCAAACACTAACAAAACATGCACACACGCAAACATACACAATAACAATACTCAAACACTAACAAACATACACTAGCAACAAAACACACATTAACACAAACATACTCACACAATAACAAACAAACACACAAACAAAAACACTCGCATTCAAGAAAATCCAAATAACAAATCAACAAACATACAAGCTAACACACACACACACACACAAGCAAAAATAAGCCCACACATAAACAAAATGTAAACATTAACAAACAAAACATGCACAATAGAAACAAAAGAATACTCACACGATAACAAACAAAACTCAAGCACACAAAAAAACCCACAACAAACATACACAATAACAAACAACTTAAATAATTACAAAACACACACACACAATAACAAAACTCTCCCTCACACAATAATAAACACAAACATACTCACACAACAACAAATGTAACGGTTGCATTTTATTTTATAGTACGTGTACTTACATGTACTTACAATGTACTTACATTGTACTTACCCAAGAAAGTACTGGTAATATAAGGTAACTACATGGGGTAGGGTTAGGTTTTGGGGTAGGTTCAGGGTTAGTACCTAGTTATTGTAATTACTACAATAAGTACATAGTATGTACATGAGGAACAGGACTGTAAAATAAAGTGCTACCAATATAACAAACACAAATATGCCAGCACAATAACAAACAAATCTCAAACACTAACAAACAAATATACTCACACACTAACAATACTCACACACACTAACAAACACAAACATACACAATAACAAAACTCACATAAAATGCACACTAACAAACCTACTCATACAATAACAAACAAAACTCACCCTAACAATCACAAACACGCTCACACAATAACAAGCAAACACACATAAGCAAAAACAAACTTTCACTAACAAAACATTTACTCAAACACTCATACATAATCAAACAAAATGCACTAACAAACATACCAATAACAAACAAATCTCAAACACTAACAAACAAATATACTCACACACTAACAATACTCACACACACTAACAAACACAAACATACACAATAACAAAACTCACATAAAATGCACACTAACAAACCTACTCATACAATAACAAACAAAACTCACCCTAACAATCACAAACACGCTCACACAATAACAAGCAAACACACATAAGCAAAAACAAACTTTCACTAACAAAACATTTACTCAAACAAAATGCACTAACAAACATACACACTCACATAAATACAAACACTTGAAAACTAACAAACAAAAACAGATAAACAAACACACTCTCCAAACATGCTTGCTTGACCATAGTAATGTGTATTTATTTGTTTTCCTCAAGGTGACATTTGGTAGACAGAACATAGACAATTCAATTTTAAGGACTAATGCTCACTATTAAAGGTAGGGTAGGCGATTTCAGAAAGGCTAGCGATAGCAAGCTAGCTTTGATCCCCACCTTCCCTGCATAATGACTCTGCAAAGCCACACCTCCTCCAAAACACGCCCGCAGGCAGACCAGAGAATAACCAGCGACACGATAAGAGACGGCTTTGGTGGGGGATTGAATGCAACACTGTCAGATTACCTCATGTCTCATTCACCCGTGAGAAAACATTACAGAACAAAGTGCATAATATTACAATAATAGCGCCTTTCACTCTCGCTGGAACGCACTGATGATGTATCATCTCTGCGCAAAAAGTATGCAAATACATATATTGACAGGCAGGCAGGACAGCCTATCGTAATGTTCGGACCGAACATTTTGATTGGACGAACATTTTATGGTCCTTCGCATCCACAGACGATATAAATACATATAAGTTTAGACCACTTTACTTGGTGTTTGCTATCGGGATGTGAAGAGACTTTCAACCAGCATAAAATTGTTTTTTTAACCAAATCACCTACCCTGTCTTTAACTAGTTTATTAGCATGCATACTGTATTACTATCATATTAGCTGTTTATTAGTACTTATAAAACACATATTAATGCCTTTTTCTGCATGACCATATTTTAGATCCCTTAACCCTACCTAGGGCTGCACATAATAATCGCAATTACAATTTCAAGGGAATAATCGACAATTATGATTTTTGTCATAATCGTGCAGCCCTAACCCTACCCCATACCTAAACGTAACAACTACCTTACTAACTATTAAAAAGCGTTAAGAGTTTTTAAGAGTTTATTAAAAAAGTCGTAGTTAATAGTGAGAATTGGTCCCTAAACTAAAGTATGGCCATTTTTATATACAGTTAGTTATATTTAATATAACCTGACCCTAATTCACACCTTTACAGAAAACTTTCTGCATTATTACAATTAAAAAAACAAACAAACAAAACGGTAACATACACTCCAAAGAGAACGGAAAAATTGAAATCGCATCATATGACCCCTTTAATAAATGAGGCCCCCAAAGGTTTTGGTTAAAATATGGTTAGCTAGGCATGCTCTCACACACTCATACACACAGTTTCTCATTTTGCAAAAACATTCAGCTGAACAGCTCATTTTTTGTCGTTGGCCAGCAGGCTGCCCCTCAGGTTGACTGGTTAATGATCACTAAACTCTCTCTAGACTGCCGAATGAAGCTCATTCCTACCGTGCCGCAGCTGCGAGGAGGTTCTTGGCATTTGCCGCCCCTGGATCAACGGAGAGGGACTTGGCGGCCAACAGCAACTTGCTGGATGCCATAGAGATGTTCTTCAGGTTGCCAACCACCTGGATCTGGTCATCTTTGGACTATGGAAACAAAAGACTGGCAGCTCAGCCTGCAGTCAAACTATGTTGTTCTTCAACTTTATTTCAGCAGAAAAATGTGCAGTGTTCTTTGAATACAGGTTACATTTTATGGTTACAAAATTTAAAGGGATAGGTTACCTAAAAATATCACTAGCCTCATTTCATTTTAAACCCATATGACTGACTGACTTCTAAGGATCACAAAATATGTTTTTAATAACATACTCGTCACTTTTCTATGGAAGCTTGTTTCTGCCACGGAATAAAAACAAAGGTAATTTCGACTTTTTATTTCACAATTCTAACTTTACTTCTTGCAATTCTGTTATAAACTCAGAATTTTAAGACGTAAACTCCAAGAATTGTGAGGAAAAACAGTAAAAACTGCAAAATGTAAACTTGCTTGTAATACTTTTCCATGCAAGTATAAATGGGGAAGCTTTCAAACTTCAAAAAGGATGCAAAATACCATAAAAGTATCATAAATGTGGTCCATACGGCTTACTTAAGCAACATATTTCACGTCTTCTGTAGACATATGACAGCTTTGTGTGCAGAACAGACCAAAACAGGTGGTAAACCATTGTCTGCCTTTCAAGGCATTGTAGGTCTACTGAATATTAATTATATGATTCCACATAATTAATATTAATGATCCAAGTTGATTCACTGTACAAAAATCAAAAGTTGAGAAAACTTAAAAGTTTAAGGCAACCAGCTTCAGGAGATTTTTGAGCTTTTTCAACTTGTTTTTGTAGTAGATTTTTGAGTTTTCTCAACTTTTTGTTGTATAAACTGAAAACAACAAGTTGAGAAAACTCAAAAATCCCCTGAAGCTGGTTGCCTTAAACTTTTAAGTTTTCTCAACTCTTGATTTTTTACAGTGTTTGCTTTTCTAATTTTGCCCTTAAAAAGAGCAAACCATGGCTCTTATTTTACATGTAATTTCGATGGGCATTAGTCTCAAAGAGCTAGACTATCTGCTTATGGCTTCTGGCCTGTTCTGTCCAGCCAGACCTCTGTGTCCCGCACTATCCCTCAGTCATCCTTTAATGGGCATGTCATGCTCCATCAACCCCTCTGCTCGCCCGTCTCTCCAAATTAATCAACAAAACATGCAGAACCAGAACATCATCAAAGATTTCATTAGGGTGGAGCATCTTCATGCTCTCTGGAACAATTATCTGCCTGAGTGAATTAGATGTGAGGCGCTAATTAACAAATGAATCATTTTAGAAAACGTTACCGCCATTTGTTTTTTCTCTTTGGTTAGTTGTTTAACATATATACTGTGCATACTACCTTTCAAAAGTTGATTTTATTTTTAAAGAAAGTAATAGTTATTCAGCAAGGATGCATTAAATTCTAAAAGTACTGTCACTTTTGTTACAAAAAATTACATTTTAAATAAATGCTGCTTTTTGAATCAAAGAATTTAAAAAAATGTGTCATGTTTCCACAAAATATTAAGCAGCACAACTGTTTTCAACATTGTGACTGACTGACTTCTAAGGATCACAAAATATGTTTTTAATAACATACTCGTCACTTTTCTATGGAAGCTTGTTTCTGCCACGGAATAAAAACAAAGGTAATTTCGACTTTTTATTTCACAATTCTAACTTTACTTCTTGCAATTCTGTTATAAACTCAGAATTTTAAGACGTAAACTCCAAGAATTGTGAGGAAAAACAGTAAAAACTGCAAAATGTAAACTTGCTTGTAATACTTTTCCATGCAAGTATAAATGGGGAAGCTTTCAAACTTCAAAAAGGATGCAAAATACCATAAAAGTATCATAAATGTGGTCCATACGGCTTACTTAAGCAACATATTTCACGTCTTCTGTAGACATATGACAGCTTTGTGTGCAGAACAGACCAAAACAGGTGGTAAACCATTGTCTGCCTTTCAAGGCATTGTAGGTCTACTGAATATTAATTATATGATTCCACATAATTAATATTAATGATCCAAGTTGATTCACTGTACAAAAATCAAAAGTTGAGAAAACTTAAAAGTTTAAGGCAACCAGCTTCAGGAGATTTTTGAGCTTTTTCAACTTGTTTTTGTAGTAGATTTTTGAGTTTTCTCAACTTTTTGTTGTATAAACTGAAAACAACAAGTTGAGAAAACTCAAAAATCCCCTGAAGCTGGTTGCCTTAAACTTTTAAGTTTTCTCAACTCTTGATTTTTTACAGTGTTTGCTTTTCTAATTTTGCCCTTAAAAAGAGCAAACCATGGCTCTTATTTTACATGTCATTTCGATGGGCATTAGTCTCAAAGAGCTAGACTATCTGCTTATGGCTTCTGGCCTGTTCTGTCCAGCCAGACCTCTGTGTCCCGCACTATCCCTCAGTCATCCTTTAATGGGCATGTCATGCTCCATCAACCCCTCTGCTCGCCCGTCTCTCCAAATTAATCAACAAAACATGCAGAACCAGAACATCATCAAAGATTTCATTAGGGTGGAGCATCTTCATGCTCTCTGGAACAATTATCTGCCTGAGTGAATTAGATGTGAGGCGCTAATTAACAAATGAATCATTTTAGAAAACGTTACCGCCATTTGTTTTTTCTCTTTGGTTAGTTGTTTAACATATATACTGTGCATACTACCTTTCAAAAGTTGATTTTATTTTTAAAGAAAGTAATAGTTATTCAGCAAGGATGCATTAAATTCTAAAAGTACTGTCACTTTTGTTACAAAAAATTACATTTTAAATAAATGCTGCTTTTTGAATCAAAGAATTTAAAAAAATGTGTCATGTTTCCACAAAATATTAAGCAGCACAACTGTTTTCAACATTGATAACAATCAGAAATGTTTATTGAGCATCAAATCAGCATATTAGAATGGTTTCTGAAGGATCATGTGACACTGAAGACTGGAGTAATGATGCTGAAAATTCAGCTTTGCATGGCAGGACTAAATTACATTTTAAAATATATTCAAATAGAAAACACTTATTTTAAATTGCAATAATATTTTTACTGTATTTTTAAACATAAATGCAGCCTTGGTGAGCATAAGTAACTTCTTTCAAAAACATTTTTGAACAATAGTATACATGTGTACATGAAAATTTTTCATTATTGTTATTTCAACAAAATGCAAAATGTTGTGCAAAGCAACAAATTCAAGGATTTTGGACCTAATCTAGCTGTTTAATAAACCTGGCATTGTGTATTATGAATATTGTTAGCTCTTTGAAGAGTTGTTTGGTTCCTCTTTTGTAAGTTGCTTTAGATAAAAGCGTCTGCTAAATGCATAAATGTAAATGGACCAATGAGATTTCTCTGTGGGCGGAGCATGTTAAGAACCATCTCTCAGCTCTAAGAGGGCGCTGAAACTGTACCTGAGTGTGTCCGGCCATCTCGATGCCAGCATCTAAAAACTCGTCAAAGTCTTGGCTGAACTTCCCGGAAGCCACAGCCAGCTGGCTGCTGCTCCCACGTGTAGACTGCACCACATCTCCGGCTGAATGATTGAGCTCCGCTGCCGTGTGGTTCAGGTCAGTCTGGGCCTCTTGGAAGGATTTGGAGCATGGAGGAAGCTGGAAAAAGTTAGGGTTGATCACTGTTGGGCCTCATTCATGAAACATGATCAGATGGAATTTCTGTGAACAGCATTTATAAATTGCGACAATTTACGTAATAACATTTTTCGGATCATTTACACAGTTTAGACTCACTAGTAGCTACACAGAACTGACAAAAAAACGTACATTTTCCACAAGCAATTTTTTACTGGCTTCGCCAATGCTCCTGAGAGCCATGTCCACATCCTTCTGTCCAGGTAAGCAGTTCACACAGTTATTCAGAGAGTGAGAGACAGCCTTCGCCACCTGAAAAACACCAACAAACACACACATTCCCACCAATAACTCTACAAAGGCCCGGAGAGATGCGGCGTGAATCTAAAATTCAAATCAGCCCCTCGGCACAACAGAGAAATCCGTATCCCTAATTTATGCCACTGTCACAGACATATGCCAAGCAATATGTTTGCATCCCAAAGGAACCTGTGCGAATCAGGAGGCACGCTGGTGCCTTCCAGAAAAAGGGTGCGCCGAGAAACAGAGAGACAATAGAAAATAGCTCAGTTTATTGGAGATAATTGCCAAGAGGGAGCTGATGGGAGATTGATCTGGTTTTAACACAGTAGCTGAAGAAGACAAAAACTATTCTGGCCTCATATAAAGACGAATAAATACTTTTTTTTTGGATAACTATGTAACCAAACTTCTACTTTAGCTTCTACTTGTCATTGAATAAATGTTCTCGCAGATGGGTGGACATCTGTCGTTATTTGCGTGTTGTTTAATGGTGGAATGCATGTAATGTGCGTCGTCCTACCTGTGCTAATCTCTGCTGGCTCTCTGCATCACCAGGGCACACTAGGGCTTGGTGGGCTTCGTGGATTAGCATGGCCGAGCCCTCCATCACGTGACAGGCAGAGTCCAGCATGGCCGCTGCAGCTTGGGGCTCCACGGTACTCGCTGCCACTCCCCTCGCGGCCTGGGCCAATGTCCTCAGAGCTTGAGCAGTTTCCCTTGCTGCCACACCTGCCGCAAACACACACACACAAATATAAGCAATTGCAAATATATATTATAACTGGTATATGGACCAGGACGATTAATTGGACAATTTTTGGCATTCTGAGGTTATATCTATCACAGTAATCTAACAATATAATCATCAGACCAATTAATAGGCCAATATTTGCAATTTTGAGATTATATTTATTACAATGATCTACTGATATAACAGACCGATTAATTGGCCAATATTTGGCATTCTTAGATTATATCTATCACAGTGGTCTACCAATATAATCATCAGACTGATTAATCAACCAATATTTGCCATTTTGAGATTATATCTATTACAATGATCTACCAATATAACAGTCAGACTGATTATTTGGACGATATTTGGCATTCTGAGATTAAATCACTGTGATCTACCAATAAAACAGATTTAGTAATTAGAGAGCATTTGACAATCTGAGATTATATCCATCACAGGGATCTACTGATATAACAGTCAGACCAATTAACTGGACAATATTTGAGATTCTGCTATTATATCTATTACAGTGATATACCGATATAACAGCTAGACCGATTAATCGGATAATATTTGCAATATTTCTGAGATTATATCAGTGATCAACCAATATATTAACAAGACTATACTTGGTATTCTGAGATTATATTTATTTTAGCAATTGGGCAATTTATCACCAATTAATCAGTCAATATGCATCAACCAGACTGAACGATTTTGAGATTATATTTATCATAGTGATTGACCAATATATTGGCCAGTCTGATTAATCTGCATAAATTTGCCATTTAATATTATATCTTTCAAGCATATTGATCGACCAATATATCAGCCAATATTTAACACTGTGACATTATATCTATCTCAGTGATTAGCTGATTTATTGACTAGAGTGATAAGTCATTGAATTTGGCAATTATTGGCTGATTAATCTGCCAGTATCTGACATTATGAGATTATTTTGATCATAATGATCAACCAATATATTGATCAGATCATTTAATCTATGATATCTGTCATTAGGAGATTATAATTATCAGTGTTCTGATAAACTGGGCAGACTACACTGATATCTAGCAATCTGAGAATATATTTATCATAGCAATCGAACAATATATAACTGGACAATAATTGGAAAATATTTGGCATTCTGAGATTATATCTATCAGTTATCGACCGATATATCGGCCAGATAATAAATTATATTTGACATTCTGATATTATATTTACCATAGCGATCACAGGATATATCACTCTGAACAATTAATCGGCTGATTTTTGATAGTATGAGATTCTGTCGTTTAGGAGAGACCCCCCCACATGATTGTAAAGCACTTTGGGTGTACAACAATACACAATAAAGCGCTATATAAATGCATAATTCATTCATTCATTCATTCATTCATATCTATTACAATAACTGACTGGACAAATCCGATTAATTGGCCGATATTTGGCATTATATCGGTCTATCATTGTAAAAGACTGAGATTATCTGCATCATTTGATAACGATGTCTGCTTGGCCTAATTAATCTTCTGAGTGTTTGTTTTTAAAGAGAAAATGTGGCAAATAAATAGTTTTGCCAATTTGTATGATTTTTTTGGTTTCATTTTTGGATTCCATTATAGCATTATAAATGGCGTTCAAGCACATTCTTTTCTTAATTCTTTTCTCAACACTGGTATCAGTCATCAAAAACACATTTTTTTTTTTTTACCTTATTTTTACATTTACTGACCGACTGCAATAAACTGTAATGCAAAATGAGGGACATTTTTGAAGCACCCAGTCCAAATGTCTTGCTCCAAATAAAGTTTTATGCCTCATTTTGGCTCATGGTTGACTCAGAATGCCCCTGCTGTTCCAGTAAATGAGTGTGGAAAGAAAATAAGGCGCCATATGGGATCTGACCTTTACTTATAGAACAGAAAGCAAAAAAAAAAAGGGAAGGGCCAATGCAGGCAAATTGCATCAAATTGCATTATCCAGCCAAGTAGAGCCCAATTGCTGATGGTATGTTAAATCTAGTGAAAATAAGATTAATGAGGGATGGGGGTTAGTTATACCCTTGGCTTGAGAAGCTGCAGGAGCCGGAGTGGAAGAGGGGGGATTTGTTCGAGCATGCCATTAAAATCTGTCTTCAGAAGCTCTCCTGAGAGCAACGATCCAGCCAGACAGAGTGAAAAATTGATGGGTGGTGCAGGTAAGTTACAGCATCGCTCTCCTCTCAGTTTTCATGCCTTTAATTTGGAAGAAGCAGCTTTGTTGGGAAAACTCAGCCAGCTTACAAGCATCTCGTAGAAGCATGAAATATTAATCATAGATGAATTTAGATATTTCTGCAAATGTCTCTGTTTTTGTTGCAAAAGATACTTGATAATAAAAACCTGGATGATTAACTACTTTTTGTTTAGCTCAACTGGTAGAGAATTTCACTAGGGATGCCAAGGTCTTGGGTTCGATTATCTTGAATGCATTGTAAATTGCTTCAGGAGCGTTTATTTAAATTTGTATTCAAATAGTACATCATTCGTTTTAACGTTATTTACAAAAAACAAGACATGCTCATGGATCAACATTTGCTGTTTGTGTTCTACCAAACAATCAAGGACTTAACCCCAAATTCAAAGGGTAATGATTGGTTGATGGGACGTTAATCCAGGAACGTGTCCTACTTGTGTAAATCCTGTTGTTATACTGCACGTTTCATATTCAGGATAGATATATTCTCCTGAAATATTGTGTTTCATATGCTGAAAAGCAACATAAGTCATCTCACCAGTATAATGTTCGTTGCCCTGGGCGGCACAGGTCAATAACTGGGCCATGGAGGAGCCCACAGCTTTAGACGTACTTCCGAGATCCTGAGCGCACTTCTCCAACTACAGACACAAGTGTGAAGAAGCAACGGTGAGGACTACTGCTAACAAGTCTGATGATTTAGTTTTATGTGATCAATTTTACCTACCGATTCTCCAGGTAGCGGTTTGAGTTGTCCTTCCAGTGTGGCCATTTTAGCATCTTGTAGTTCACTCTTGAGAGTCTGAACAGCACTGAGAGCCGAGTCGATCTCCAGAGGACCACACGCCTCATGAGCCTATGAAACAATACACAAAGATAACAAACAAACAAACATTTTCAGCCAACTTTTGTGAAAAAAGCTCCATTGTCCATACACCTTAGACAGGGTAGTGCCATTTTTTATTTTTGACAGGACTGAACACAAAGCTCTGAGGGACTGAAGTGCAGTGCGTTTAGTGGATTCTACTGTTGTTTAACAATATATCAATTGTTCAGCTGATAAATATCTTTCTGAAAAAGAAAAAAAAAAACCTCCAGTAGTTAAAAACCTCATAAAACAGTTCTGAAAGTGAGTTGCGTAAAATTACGTCATCTAGGACCTTTATACAGTGCCATTGTTAAGACTGTAAGTCTATTTGTTTTCATCCTTGTTCATTTCAATATGGCGTCTAAGTCTATTATCAATAGTGTAGAGATTCTTTCACAGCTTAAAACAATTTTAACGACTTGTCTGTCGCACTCATGAAAAGTTCCCAAATTTTAACGACTGTCTGTCGCACTCATGAAAAGTTCCTATTTGCGCAGACTCCCACTGAAATTCAACTGTGAAAATTTGCGGAAAATGTTACCACACCTTAAATTATGAGAAAACTATAATTTCTGTCCAAACTGTCCCTTTAAAACATGAGTAATGGAAGGATGAATCTCTACGTCTGATTATTATTATAATATGCTTCAGTATTTAAAGGTGTTTTGGATCTACTAGCAGGCAGTGAACTGTGGGCACCTTCTGTGCAGCTGTGCGCAGCTCTGCCAGGCAGGTGGCCAGGTTCTTGGCACACTGACCAAGTTGCATCGCAGCTGCCTGGTCGGTTACCGTCGGAACGGCCGCTTTAGCAGACGTCACCATTTTGCTTCCCGGCTGTTTGGAGACAGAAACAATGTGAGGATCATTTAAACGTCAAATCAGAGGTTGCTAAACAAATATAGAATGTGCGTTTTACCTGCAGGAAACTCTGGCTGGCGATGATAAGGGCGAGTTGGGCACCAAGATCTTCTGGGTAGGCCTGACTGCCCCTCATTCCCTGTACTAGTTGTGGGATATGGTCGGCCACTGCCTGAAGAGCATCCACAAATCCACAGTCAGAATAGTTTCATTCAAATTCAAAAATCCTGAACTAACCAGAACAGAACTACCCACAATACCTTGCAGCTAAACACGAGCTGCTGATGTGACATGGTGTTCTTATTGGATGCAGCTGCATTCTGGGCAGCGGCAATGGTTTGCGTAGCTGCGGCTGCGGCCTGCTTAGCTGCATTCTGTTCCAGACAAATAACAATGACGAATTACAGCTTCAATAATTACTAACACAGCAAATAACAAACGTGGAAACAGTGGCGGTCTATTACATCTGGTAGGGCTGCACATTTGGAGAAGAAAAAAAAAAACCGAATAGCAATTTTTAAAAAAAAATTTAAATTGTGATAAAACAAAAATGTAGGACAGCACTATTTGACCAAAAATGCTGTGAATATATATAAATATGACAATTCAACAACAACAATAATAAATATATTGCTACAACTACTATTTTATATAAATACAAATATAAATATTTATTTAGTAATAATAATAATAATAATAATATATAAATAAAAATAAGAAATATTATTGCTATATTACATTGTAAAAAAAAAAATATATAAATTATAATTTTTTTAAAATACATTTAAAATTATTTTTTATTTATTTATTTATTAGTTATTATTAATATTATTATTATTATTTTACTACTACTATTACTAAATGAAAATAGTAAATAAAACTATTGTAATATTTCAATGTAAAATAAAAAAACAAGCATTTAAGAACATAATAATAATAATAATAATTTTATATTTAAACCAACTGTAAAATTACAATACCTAATTTCTTCATGTTCAATGTATGCACTTGTTCAGTATATTTATATATTTTTTATTTATTTAATTAAATTGCAGTCTTTGCAACTTGATAAGCACACTAAGCAATATTGCGATTTTGGTTTTATTTCAATTAACTGTGCTGCCCTAACATTTGGCATCACTCTGCACCGGGTTAGATGTAGTGTTAACCATACAAAGACCCGACTGTTCTGAGTGAATTTCATTACAGGTTCAGCAAGGATTGTAGAGCATTTGGGATGTTTCTGGCGATGTCCATCATAAAAGGATTTTGCAAAATCCAGTGGCGGCATGCTACACTTTAGAAGTAAGAGCAAAAGAAGGCGAGCAACAAGAAAAAGATTCTTTGTTTTATGAAAGAATATTCCATGTGTGAGGAAGAATGATAGATGGAAGAGACAGAAAAAAAGAACCTCAAGAACAAAGCCATTTTTGCTGATGGGAAGAGACCAAACAGAACCAGAACGCTGGATTCCACTGACTGAAACTGTCGGCCAATGGAAAAATACCCGCTATGGAAACTAGACTGCTACCACATACAGGCTGATAAAAAGCCACCTCTTCCTTGCTAATATGAGTTTTGACCTAAACAGACACAAAACTGGGGATGGATGCTGTTGAGCTTAAAAATGGGCTTGCACAGTAATCCATTTTTACATTTTATTAGCGTCCTCCACACCACTATAATTTAGTATGTTAAAGGGGTCATATGATGCGATTTAAATTTTTCGTTTCTCTTTGGAGTGTTACAAGCTCTTGGTGCATAAAGAAGATCTGTAAAGTTGCAAACACTAAAGTCTCAAATCCAAAGAGATATTCTTTATAAAAGTTCAGAGTCTGCCACACCTACCTAAAACGGCTCGTTCTAACACGCCCCCACATGTCTACCTCACTATGTGGGAAGATTTGCATAACACCGCCCAAATGTTCACGCAAAGAAAGAAGGCGTAACTTTTAGTCTCACTGTAGTTTTGTTGGCGCTGCAGCCATGTCGTGAAGACGCTGTGTG